TGCGACTTGCCATGTGATTTCCATGCTATACGACTGACAGATCACATGCCAAGTTGCACACCCTTTGCTCCACATTCCAGTGATCATACCGGAGGTCCGTCTTGGTCAGAACATGCAATACTTTGGGTGCGATTTGCATAGACCTCGGTGTCACTCAAATCACAACTCAAATCGGCATGCCACTAAAATTTGAAATCGTGCGACTCACTGTAAGTCGGTGTGAAGGGGAGGGGGGGGGGTTCTGTTTTTTTTTATGGATGTTTTCTACAATATTTATGTGGAATCTTTCCTCCCCGCCTCCTCTTCTCGTATTCAGGATTCATTTTGGCCAAATCACCAGCAACCAGATGATGCTGGGAGTCATCGAAGACTTGAAGAACTGCACCATCTCCCGGGTGTCGGAGGTTCGGGTAAGAGGCTGAAATACCATGTTGTCTCCATTCAGCATCTTCATATTCTAGCCGTATCCTACAGCTGGGGCCTCCAAACGTTCCAAACAAGGGGCCAGTTTACTGTCCTTCAGACATCAGGGGGGCCGGGACTGTGGCCAGGAGGAGTAGAAAATTGTCCTGGTGTGGGAGTAAGCAATACATTATTTTTGGTGTCAGTGGGAGGAATAGTGCCCCATCGTTGGTGTCGGTGGGAGGAATAGTGCCCCATCGTTGGTGTCGGTGGGAGGAATAGTGCCCCATCGTTGGTGTCAGTGGGAGGAATAGTGCCCCATCGTTGGTATCGGTGGGAGGAATAGTGCCCCATCGTTGGTGTCGGTGGGAGGAATAGTGCCCCATCGTTGGTGTCGGTGGGAGGAATAGTGCCCCATCGTTGGTGTCGGTGGGAGGAATAGTGCCCCATCGTTGGTGTCGGTGGGAGGAATAGTGCCCATCGTTGGTGTCGGTGGGAGGAATAGTGCCCCATCGTTTGGTGTCGGTGGGAGGAATAGTGCCCCATCGTTGGTGTCGGTGGGAGGAATAGTGCCCCATCGTTGGTGTCGGTGGGAGGAATAGTGCCCCAGAGGCGTTGGTGTCGGTGGGAGGAATAGTGCCCCATCGTTGGTGTCGGTGGGAGGAATAGTGCCCCATCGTTGGTGTCGGTGGGAGGAATAGTGCCCCATCGTTGGGTGTCGGTGGGAGGAATAGTGCCCCATCGTTGGTGTCGGTGGGAGGAATAGTGCCCCATCGTTGGTGTCGGTGGGAGGAATAGTGCCCCATCGTTTGGTGTCGGTGGGAGGAATAGTGCCCCATCGTTGGTGTCGGTGGGAGGAATAGTGCCCCATCGTTGGTGTCGGTGGGAGGAATAGTGCCCCATCGTTGGCTGGTGTCGGTGGGAGGAATAGTGCCCCATCGTTGGTGGGTCGGTGGGAGGAATAGTGCCCCATCGTTGGTGTCGGTGGGAGGAATAGTGCCCCATCGTTGGTGTCGGTGGGAGGAATAGTGCCCCATCGTTGGTGTCGGTGGGAGGAATAGTGCCCCATCGTTGGTGTCGGTGGGAGGAATAGTGCCCCATCGTTGGTGTCTGGTGGGAGGAATAGTGCCCCATCGTTGGTGTCGGTGGGAGGAATAGTGCCCCATCGTTGGTGTCGGTGGGAGGAATAGTGCCCCATCGTTGGTGTCTTTGTGGGAGGAATAGTGCCCCATCGTTGGTGTCGGTGGGAGGAATAGTGCCCCATCGTTGGTGTCGGTGGGAGGAATAGTGCCCCACATCGTTTGTGTCTAGTGGGAGGAATAGTGCCCCATCGTTGGTGTCGGTGGGAGGAATAGTGCCCCATCGTTGGTGTCGGTGGGAGGAATAGTGCCCCATCGTTGGTGTCGGTGGGAGGAATAGTGCCCCATCGTTGGTGTCGGTGGGAGGAAGTAATGGCGGCGATCAGCGACTTATAGTGGGACTGTGGTGGACATTCTGACACTGGGGTAGAGAGACATGCTGCTGTGCAGAGATACATAGCAGCATGTCCATGCTGACAGGAGAAGAGACCTGTGTTGTTTACACACAAACATCTCCTGTCAGCTTTCCCCGACGATCGCCGAGTGATTCCCCATCACCGGCCGGGCGCGGTGATTGACATCTCTAGCCACTAACAGTGTTGCCAGCAGGGTGGCACGTGCACTCCCTACCCAGTGATTTTGCACAGCTGTGCCACCCTGTAGCAGTACATCTGCTATAGGGCGGCGGTTAAGCCAGTCTTTATGCCCAGGTTGGTGGAATTAACTTACAATCATGTGACCACTGTGATTGGCCGTCTCAGGGATCTCATGATTGGGGGCTTTTATAGGGTCCCGATCATGACCAGAGACCAAACGCGGTATATGACAGCAGCACGCTCTCGGCACAGAAACCACACCCATCTGTGGACGCATGTGGATGTTAACGCCCACCCTCTTTGTCATCGCACATGGGAGGCAAGAGTTTACTGATCCCTGCACTGATCCCCCTACCGATCCCCCTACCGATCCCCCTACCGTTCCCCCGTCTGTTCTCCCTTCCGATCTCCCTACCGATCACTGTACTGATCCCCCTACCGTTCCCCCTACCGTTCCCCCTACCGTTCCCCCCGATCCGTTCCCCCTTCCGTTCCCCCTTCCGTTCCCCCTACCGTTCCCCCTACCGTTCCCCCTACCGATCCCCCTTCCGTTCCCCCTTCCGTTCCCCCTTCCGTTCCCCCTTCCGATCCCCCTTCCGTTCCCCCTTCCGTTCCCCCTTCCGATCCACCTTCCGTTCGCCCCACTGATCCGTTGCCTCTCCTTTCTCTAGGACGTCATGGGGGTAAATATGGCCGCCCTACACTTCTTAAAGCGAGAGATTGAAGCCAAGGAGGAAGTCCTGTTCTTTGCAGACGCCACCGAGAGGTTCGAGGAGAAGAGGAGGAAGCGGAAAGAAGAAGGAGAAGCTGATGCTGACTGTGGCGTGATAACTCCGCCCAGACTTGTCATCCAGTCACGGCTCCCCATTCACTGTGGGAGCTTCTTAAAGAGAAACTTGCGATCGGTCAGGACTGGTGTACTCTGTGGATACTTGGACCATACCATTCACACACATTTTTTTTTAATGGGGGGGGGGGGGGGATTCAGGATGGCCTGCTGGCTATGTACAGAGCTCATTTTGGGAAAACTTATTTTAATAAATATTTTATAAGTGTGATGATTGATGTTCCTGGATGGAGAAGATAATCCAATCATTTTCGTGCTGAGGAAAGGGGACAGAATGGTATTGCCCATGCCATAAGCCCCGGGGGTGGACATGCCATCAGTGCAGACCCTCCAGAAGGACCACCCAGGACATAGGGCGTGTTTTGACTGGGATGAGAGGTGGCTGGGGGCTCTCCCACTGTCACATGGATTACGTGCATAGAAGGGTCAGTCAATGACGTCAACTATAAATGTGAATGGGCCCTTTGGAATGGTGAGAAATCAGCTAAAAGGGCCCCTGTGCAGGAGCAATTTTTGCCTTTTCTCTTTTTTAGATGTGTTTTTCCTGAACATAAATGTAGCGGTGTGTCTCAATACAAAAGGGGTGGCTGTAGGTGTCCACCAAGGGATGGAGCTTTTCAACCTCAACTGCTAATTAGATTCAGACTTGAGGGCAGGTGGGTGTCTGATTGGCTGAGAGGAAGGGACCCCATCACCACACGTCAGGCCTGTGACCACATGCTCACCTGTGATAGGTGAGCCCCCTTTTTCTGATGTTGGAAACAGTTTATGTATCTCTGGGCTCTGACACAATGTACAGATCCCTAACACTGGATCCTGTCCCCCCTCAACTACTACGGTCACCCTCTTCTTCCATCCTACGCTCCCTCACATCTTCCATCTTTCCCTCTCTACTGGCACCTTCCCCTCTAAAGCACGCACACATCACTGTGATAATTAAAAAGGACCCTCCCTGGACCCCACCAACCTGCCCTCCCTGGACCCCACCAACGTGAACAACTTGAGACCCATCTCCCTGCTCCCGTTTACCTCGAAACGCCTAGAACGCTTAGTCTACAATCGCCTGAGCTCCTCCCTCACTGACAACAACCTTCTTAGCCCTTTACAGTCTGGCTTTTACTCTCTACACTCCACTGACACTGCCCTACTAAACCTCACTAATGATCTACTAACCGCTAAAACCAATGGCCACTACTCCGTACTCCTCCCAACCAATGGCCACTACTCCGTACTCCTCCCAACCAATGGCCACTACTCCGTACATCCCAACCAATCCATACTACGTACTCATCCCAACCAATGGTCGCTACTCCGTACTCCTCCCAACCAATGGCCACTACTCCGTACATCCCTCATCCCAACCAATGGTCCACTACTCCGCTCCTCCCACTGGCCGTACTCCTCCCTCCTCCCACCGGTGGCCGCTACTCCGTACTCTTCCCAACCAATGGCCACTACTCCGTACTCTTCCCAACCAATGGTGGCTCCGTACTCTTCCCAACCAATGCCCCGCTACTCCGTACTCGTCCCAACCAATGGTGGCCGCTACTCCGTACTCCTCCCAACCAATGGTCACTACTCCGTACTCCTCCCAACCGGTGGCCGCTACTCCGTACTCATCCCAACCAATGCCCTCTACTCCGTACTCTTCCCAACCAATGGCCACTACTCCGTACTCGTCCCAACCAATGGCCACTACTCCGTACTCATCCCAACCAATGCCCGCTACTCCGTACTCGTCCCAACCAATGCCCGCTACTCCGTACTCGTCCCAACCAATGCCCGCTACTCCGTACTCGTCCCAACCAATGCCCGCTACTCCGTACTCGTCCCAACCGAATGCCCTCTACTCCGTACTCGTCCCAACCAATGCCCTCTACTCCGTACTCGTCCCAACCAATGCCCTCTACTCCGTACTCGTCCCAACCAATGCCCTCTACTCCGTACTCGTCCCAACCAATGCCCTCTACTCCGTACTCGTCCCAACCAATGGTCGCTACTCGTCCCAGCCGGAGGGCCTCTACTCTGTCCTCTTACTACTTGACCTCTCCGCGACTTTTCATACTGTTGACATTCCCCCCCTCCTCAAAAACTCCACTCTCTTGGCCTCTAAGACTTTTCTCTCTTCTGGTTCTCCTCTTACCTATCGCAGCGCTCCTTCAGCATTACCTATAACGCTGCCTTCTCCCTTCCTCTTTCTGTTGGGGTCCCTCAAGGTTCTGTCCTTCTCTTCTCCATCTACACCTCCTCCCTTGGTTCCTTGATAATCCCCCATGGCTTTAAGTATCATCTCTATGCTGATGACACACAAATCTATCTTTCTACCCCTCACCTCACCCCTTCAGTCTCCTCCCCACCTCACCCCTCCTCTCGCATTACTAACCTACTAAGTGACATATCGGCATGGATGTCACTCCACTTCCTCAAAGTCAATCTTTCCAAAACTGAGCTCTTACTATTCCCTCCAGACTGTGCCCCCTCCCCCGACTTCTCCATCAAGATCAATAACACAACCATTAGTCCCTCCCCTCATATTATTGATATAGGATGCAGTGTACAGATGTCTGGCACAATGTAGGGATCTCTGAAGATGGATATAATGGCTGGAGCTCTGATGTTATTACACCATCTTGGAAATTCCATACCCCGATTGGCCAAAGAAGGGCATGAGACCACCTTTTTCATTAAAGAGGTCATATTGGCCTGGTGAGTGATTAAAGCATTGCTTTCTGATTGGGTGAAAGATGGATACTGTATGGTGAAGGAACACGACCACTGAGCAATTATCATCAAGACTGCACTTTTATGGACATTTTATTTTTTTTTTCACCTTTTCTAGATAATATAATTTCTTTTTACCAATTTATGTTGGAATATTAGCACAGAATTATATTTATATTGGGATTTGAGCAAACCGCACCCCCTACTGAAAATACATCGTTCAAACTGCTGGCCCTATCCTCTGCCATCTTTTACTGCATCTTCACATCAGGCTAGATCTGACCTTGATCTTCTCCCATCCAGTGCAGGGATGGAAGATAACCAGCACAGCATTGGGGAGGGAGGGTGCGCACAACTGAAATCTTGGGGGGGGGGGGGGGGGTGGGGTGGGAGTGCATAGTGCACCCCCTAGAGCCTACCATGGAACAGATGCGTAGACCCCAATCGATCATCTTTATGTGACATTCCTGGCTGGTCCTACCTCAGTCTAATGCAGTGGTTCTTAACCTTGTTGGAGGTACTGACCCCCACCAGTTTCATATGCGCCTTCACCGAACCCTTCTTAATTGGAAAAATAAAAATATGATTTTTAAAATTCAAAACATAGGTATATATTTATACATAGGTGCACAAAATGAACAAAACCGTTAAGAACAAAGAACAAAACCATTAAAACATGATTTTCACACAAAAACATAATAATGAATATTTACTGCACGAATCATATGAGTCAGGTCTGGGTCTTCACCTCTGCCGAACCCGCGATGAGACTGACTCACTGAACCCCTGGGGTTCGATCGAACCCAGGTTAAGAACCACTGTTTTATAGTAATTCATCCCCCATATAGTAATTCATCCCCCATAGTAATTCATCCCCCATATAGTAATTCATCCCCCATATAGTAATTCATCCCTCATATAGTAATTCATCCCCCATATAGTAATTCATCCCCCATATAGTAATTCATCCCCCATATAGTAATTCATCCCTCATAGTAATTCATCCCCCATATAGTAATTCATCCCCCATATAGTAATTCATCCCCCCATAGTAATTCATCCCCCATATAGTAATTCATCCCCCATAGTAATTCATCCCCATAGTAATTCATCCCCCATATAGTAATTCATCCCCCCTATAGTAATTCATCCCCCATATAGTAATTCATCCCCCATATATAATTTCATCCCCCATATAGTAATTCATCCCCCATATAGTAATTCATCCCTCATATAGTAATTCATCCCCCATAGTAATTCATCCCCCATATAGTAATTCATCCCCCATATAGTAATTCATCCCCCATAGTAATTCATCCCCCATAGTAATTCATCCCCCATAGTAATTCATCCCCCATAGTAATTCATCCCCCATATAGTAATTCATCCCTCATAGTAATTCATCCCCCATATAGTAATTCATCCCCCCATAGTAATTCATCCCCCATATAGTAATTTCATCCCCCATAGTAATTCATCCCCCATAGTAATTCATCCCCCATATAGTAATTCATCCTCATATAGTAATTCATCCCCCATATAGTAATTCATCCCCCATATAGTAATTCATCCCCCATATAGTAATTCATCCCTCATATAGTAATTCATCCCCCATATAGTAATTCATCCCTCATATAGTAATTCATCCCCCCTATAGTAATTCATCCCCCATATAGTAATTCATCCCCCCTATAGTAATTCATCCCCCATATAGTAATTCATCCCCCCCTATAGTAATTCATCCCTCATATAGTAATTCATCCCTCATTATAGTAGTAGTAAGTAAGTAGCAAGTAGTAAGCCAAGTCCCCCCTGTGTCAATTCACTTACCTTTGCTCCGCGCGTTCCTCTCGCCGTATTCCCGCGCCGTTCGGTCTTCAGGGCGGACTGTGAGAGGAGCCTAGCTCCTCTCACATTCGTCACGCTGCCCCGCCTACACACATCCTGACAGCACAATCACTGGCTATCAGGATGTGAGTGGCAGCGAGACTGGCCAATCATTGCATTTGAGCGCGCTGCCCTGGCTGTTTTTTTTTTTTGGATCACGCTGCAGAGTCCCTGCCGCCCGAGAGGAGGGGGGGGAGCGGGCGCCCGGCACACAAGAGCCGCATTAAAGCGTGTAAAGAGCCGCATGTGGCTCGCCGACCACTGGGCTAAGCGATGTTGCGTGACCACCTGCAGCCAATGATGGACAAGCGGGGCATGTCATCACGAATCATATGAGTCGGGTGTGGGTCTTCACCTCCGCCGAACCCGCGAGACTGACTCACCGAACCCCTGGGGTTCGACATTCGAACCCAGGTTAAGAACCACTGGTCTAATGTCTTTTCCCACATTGAAGGAATCTATCAGACAAAAATGTAAATTCTCAAATTTTATTTAAATATTACAAGGTAGTAAAACAGATTTCATAACTTCCATAGCTGGTAATAAATGTGAATCAGAGTCCTGAAGATTGACCTGGAAGAGAAAACGACAAGTTTAGAATCATCATCTCCATTCTTCATTACTCCAAAATTTGTTTTTCCCCAAATCCTCTTCCAGGACAGCACATGACAGAGATGATGGGCACCTCCTCCCAGAGGACACACTTCACCAAAAACACTCAAAAAAAGGGACAGGAAGTCCTGCTAGTTGTCTCCTCCAGTTAGAGAGGTATGGTGGAAGTCCTCCACCAACCCCCTTGCTGGTGGGGTTTTCCTCTATCCTTGCTACCTGGTCTCTTCCTATTTATGGACAGAAAGAGGTCTGGGCCCACTACCTTTTCAGTGCCTGGGGATGGCCAGTATTGGGGGTGACTTGCTACCTCCTTGGTTGGTGTGGTTCTAGTATCAACAAAAAAACTTCCACGATGACTGAGCTAAGCTAACCCGTGGTGTCAAGTCTGAGGGGAGTAATGTTGCTCCCCGGGCAGGAAAGTGGGTAAGGCCTGCTGCTGACTCTACCAGGTTGCTGTCAGTGTCCCCGCTGGGATGATTTACCCTCTTTATATGTCCCAGCGACCACTGTCACCACAGCAAAAAGTGACGGTGAATCCAAAATGTTCAGTTGCCACCACCAGAGGAAGAGAGAATTCTTCCAGTGTGGACAACTGTCTAATGATTTCTTGTCACTTTGGAGAAATTCTCACTTCCTGTTGTGTAGATGTGATCAGTCTGGTGTGGAGGAACTTGAGTGTCCAACACAGAGCCCTGACCTCAACCCTACTGAACACATAAAGGATGAAATGGAACGCTGATGGTGAGCCAGGTCTTCTAATCCAACATCAGTACCTGACCTCAACCCTATTGAAAGCCTTTGGGATGAACTGGGTTGTGAGCAAGGCCTTCTCATCCATCATCAGTACCTGACCTCACAACTGGCACAAATTCCCACAGATGCATTCCAAATTTTTATAGGAACCTTTCCCAGAATAATGGAGTCAGCTCCATAAACGGTGTGAGAAGTTTGGTGTGAAGGAACAAGAGGGTCCAACACAGAGCCCCGACCTCAACATCTTTGGGATGAATTGGGTTGTGAGCAAGGCCTTCTCATCCATCATCAGTACCTGACCTCACAACTGGCAGTTGTCCACACTGGAAGAATTCTCTCTTCCTCTGCTAGTGACAACTGCCAGTTGTGAGGTCAGGTACTGATGATGTATGAGAAGGCCTTGCTCACAACCCAATTCATCCCAAAGGTTTTCAATAGGGTTTAGGTCAGGTACTGATGTTGGATGAGAAGACCTGGCTCACCATCAGCGTTCCATTTCATCCTAAAGGTGTTCAGTAGGGTTGAGGTCAGGGCTCTGTGTTGGACACTCAAGTTCCTCCATGCCAAACTGATCGCATGTACACAACAGGAAGTGAGAATTTCTCCAAAGTGACAAGAAATCATTAGACAGTTGTCCACACTGGAAGAATTCTCTCTTCCTCTGCTGGTGACAACTGTCTAATGATTTCTTGTCACTTTGGAGAAGTTCTCACTTCCTGTTGTGTAGATGTGATTAGTTTGGGATGGAGGAACTTGAGTGTCCAACACAGAGCCCTGACCTCAACCCTACATCTTTGGGATGAATTGGGTTGTGAGCAAGGCCTTCTCATCCATCATCAGTACCTGATCTCACAACTGGCAGTTGTCACCAGCAGAGGAAGAGAGAATTCTTCCAGTGTGGACAACTGTCTAATGATTTCTTGTCACTTTGGATAAATTCTCACTTCCTGTTGTGTAGATGTGATCAGTTTGGTGTGGAGGAACTTGAGTGTCCAACACAGAGCCCTGACCTCAACCCTACTGAACACCTTTGGGATGAAATGGAACGCTGCTGGTGAGCCAGGTCTTCCCATCCAACATCAGTACCTGACCTCAACCCTATTGAAAACCTTTGGGATGAATTCCCACAGATGCATTGCAAAATTTTGTAGGAACCCTTCCCAGAATAGTGGAGTCAGCTCCATAAACGGTGTGAGCAGTTTAGTGTGGAGGAACTTGAGTGTCCAACACAGAGCCCCGACCTCAACCCTACTGAACATCTTTGGGATGAATTGGGTTGTGAGCAGGCCTTCTCTCATCCATCATCAGGAGCTGTCTTACAACTGGCACAAATTCCCACAAATTCCAAAATTTTGTAGGAACCCTTCCCAGAATAGTGAAGTCAGCTCCATAAGGACATGGTCTGATCAGTTTGGCATGGAGGAACTCGAGCGCCCAACACAGCCTTGACCTCAACCCTACTGAACACCTTTGGGATGAATTGGAACAGCCGAGGCGAGCCAAGTCTTTGCATTCAAAGTTCAAAATGGCACCCTCCCACATCCAAGATCTTGTGGAAAGCCTGCCAGGAAGAGTGGAGGATGGGATAGGAGGAAACCCCATATTAAATGGCCGTGGTTTTGGAATGGGATGTCCCGCAAGCTCATATAGGTGTGTTCACAGCCTTTCGGCCATATAGTGAACCTCCATAATCTGATCTCTATGTACGAGGGGTGATGATTTAATTCCTGGAATGTCCCTATGGTGGCGAGTCACACAGCCATTCGCACTCCGGCGTGTTCTGCCATGTTTTACGTTGCACTCCTCTGGGTTGCCGATCAGTTGACTCAGCCTTACGGAGTAGTAGAAGACATAACGGGGGGGTGCGTTGTGCTGTTGGTGGAAAATGAATGACAAGAATCTGGCAGCAGCGGATTAACATCACATTTTGCGTGAAAATTGACAAAAGTGCGAGTGCAACAGACCTATGATGAACACTCCATGCAGAAAGTGTTTTTGAATGGCATGGGCGGTTTAAGGAGGGGCGAGAAGATATACACGGACACAAGTGGGCAGCCAAAAATGCAAAGGACGGATGCAAGTGTGGAAAATGAAAAAGTGACGGGAATCTGTTTGGAGGAAAAGACCGGAACTCTGGCCTGACACGCGGATTCTCCACCACGACAATGCTCCTGCACAAGATGCGTTACGTGTTCATGAGTTCCTGGCCCAGAAATCCATTCCAAAACTTGACCGACCACCTTATTCCCCTGACTTATCACCCTTTTGGCTAATTCCAAAATGTAACAATGCCTTAATGACGTTCTGGACATCCAACGCGCTGCGACAAAGGTGCAGCCTTCGGGAAAACAGAACCTCTACTGGAGCTACACCCAGATTTACCGCCTCCATGCGTTGCCCCTCCTGGAAGGTCCGTACCTGTTTCTGCTATTTTTCTTGGTCTGAGAAGTTCCAGCCTGGACTGGAGGCTGCTACTGACCAGCTTCACTCCCAGCCCCAAGTCTTTGTTTGCTGCACCCTCCATGTGGCTCTCATACACACCCTCTGTAAGAACTGGTGGGGGCGGAGTTAAGGATAGAACAATCATAATACAGCAGTTTGTATTCAGGCCAGTGTATGATGGGGTGGTGACACTACAGGGTTGTAGGACGGGTGGCGACACTGCGGGGTTGTATGGTGGGTGGCGACACTGCGGGGTCGTATGATGGGCGGCGACACTGCGGGGTTGTATGCGGGTGGCGACACTGCGGGGTTACATGGCGGGTGGCGACACTGCGGGGTTACATGGCGGGTGGCGACACTGCGGGGTCGTATGGCGGGTGGCGACACTGCGGGGTCGCATGGCGGGGTGGCGACACTGCGGGGTCGCATGACGGGTGGCGACACTGCGGGGTTAAACGACGGGTGGCGACACTGCGGGGTTAAACGACGGGAGGCGACACTGCGGGGTCGCACGACGGGTGGTGGCGACACTGCGGGGTCGCACGACGGGTGGCGACACTGCGGGGTTACATGGCGGGGTGGCGACACTGCGGAGTTGTATGGCGGGTGGCACACTGCGGGGTCGTACGACGGGTGGCGACACTGCGGGGTCGCACGACGGGTGGCGACACTGCGGGGTCGCACGACGGGTGGCGACACTGTGGGGTTGTATGACATGTGGCGACACTGCGGGGTTACATGGCGGGTGGCGACACTGCGGAGTTGTATGGCGGGTGGCGACACTGCGGGGTCGTACGACGGGTGGCGACACTGCGGGGTCGCACGACGGGTGGCGACACTGCGGGGTCGCACGACGGGTGGCGACACTGCGGGGTCGCACGACGGGTGGCGACACTGCGGGGTCGCACGGGGGTGGCGACACTGCGGGGTCGCATGACAGGTGGCGACACTGCAGGGTTTACACGACGGGTGGCGACACTGCGGGGTTGTGCGGAGTCGTATGACGGGTGGCGACACTGCGGGGTTGTATGGTGGTTGGCAACACTGCGGGGTCGCATGGGCGGGTGGCGACACTGCGGGGTCGCATGGCGGGTGGCGACACTGCGGGGTTAAACGACGGGGGTGGCGACACTGCGGGGTTACACGACGGGGTGGCGACACTGCGGGGTCACACGGGGGTCACATGACCGGTGGCGACACTGAGGGGGTCGCACGACGGGTGGCGACACTGCGGGGTCGCATGACAGGTGGCGACACTGCAGGGTTACACGACGGGTGGCGACACTGCGGGGTTGTGCGGAGTCGTATGACGGGTGGCGACACTGCGGGGTTGTATGGTGGGTGGCAACACTGCGGGGTCGTATGGCGGGTGGCAACACTGCGGGGTTACATGGCGGGTGGCGACACTGCGGGGTCGTATGGCGGGTGGCGACACTGCGGGGTCGCATGGCGGGTGGCGACACTGCAGGGTTACGCATGGCGGGTGGCGACACTGCGGGGTCGTATGGCGGGTGGCGACACTGCAGGGGTTACATGGCGGGTGGCGACACTGCGGGGTCGTATGGCGGGTGGCGACACTGCGGGGTCGCATGGCGGGTGGCGACACTGCGGGGTCGCATGACGGGTGGCGACACTGCGGGGTCGTACACGACGGGTGGCGACACTGCGGGGTCGCACGACGGGTGGCGACACTGCGGGGTCGCATGGCGGGGGTGGCGACACTGCGGGGTCGCACGGTGGTGGCGACACTGCGGGGTCGCACGACGGGTGGCGACACTGCGGGGTTACATGGCGGGTGGCGACACTGCGGAGGGTTGTATGGCGGGTGGCGACACTGCGGGGTTGTGCGGAGTCGTATGACGGGGGTGACACTGCGGGGTTGCATGGTGGGTGGCGACACTGCGGGGTCATATAACGGCGGAACACTGCGGGGTTACATGACGGGGGCGACACTGCGGGGTCGTATGGTGGGGTGGCGACACTGCGGGGTTAAACGACGGGTGGCGACACTGCGGGGTTTGTATGGCGGGTGGCGACACTGAGACGTCACGTGACAACAGACGATGCTTCGAGGTAACTCTGCGCTCCAGTAAAGGATATTTGCCATCACCGGGAGGAAGAGCGTCTCCACCTCAGTCTGGATCTCGATGCAATGTGAACACTCAGCTGCCCCCTCCGGTCTGTCCAATCCGATGGCCATGGCGAACAATTCTATGTCCAGACTCGTCTGCATCCCCGCCGCCACCTACACATGTGACGTGACACGGAGAGATCTGTGTGAACGTTCAGAGACCAGAAAACTGAGAACTAAAGCTTATCGACCCGGGAACTCAGCACAGGGATGGTGGGAACCCCTCATAAAGGGCACAGCGGGTGTACAGACCCGGGAACTCAGCACAGGGATGGTGGGAACCCCTCATAAAGGGGCACAGCGGGTGTACAGACCCGGGAACTCAGCACAGGGACGGTGGGAACCCCTCACAATGGGCACAGCGGGTGTACAGACCCGGGAACTCAGCCCAGGGATGGTGGGAACCCCTCATAATGGGCACAGCGGGTGTACAGACCCGGGAACTCAGCCCAGGGATGGTGGGAACCCCTCATAAAGGGCACAGCGGGTGTACAGACCCGGGAACTCAGCACAGGGATGGTGGGAACCCCTTCATAATGGGCACTGCGGGTGTACAGACCCAGGAACTCAGTACAGGGATGGTGGGAACCCCTCATAAAGGGCACAGCGGGTGTACAGACCCAGGAACTCAGCACAGGGATGGTGGGAACCCCTCATAATGGGCACAGCGGGTGTACAGACCCAGGAACTCAGTACAGGGATGGTGGGAACCCCTCATAATGGGCACTGCGGGTGTACAGACCTGGGAACTCAGCACAGGGATGGTGGGAACCCTTCATAATGGGCACAGCGGGTGTACAGACCTGGGAACTCAGTACAGGGATGGTGGGAACCCCTCATAATGGGCACTGCGGGTGTACAGACCTGGGAACTCAGCACAGGGATGGTGGGAACCCCTCATAATGGGCACTGCGGGTGTACAGACCCAGGAACTCAGTACAGGGATGGTGGGAACCCCTCATAATGGGCACTGCAGGTGTACAGGTCCGGGAACTCGGCACAGGGATGGAAGGGCATGTTGAACACTTACCGGCCCGGGGGTGTAGGTGACTCTCAGGCCACTGCTGGGTGGTGGAGGCTTCACCCGAAACCTGCCAAAAGAAACACAAGTGCTCTGTGATGTCACATGATATACATATGGTTTGTCCAATGAGGAAGTAAAGCAATCTGTGTATTCTTGATATAATGTTTATACAATGTTTGCACAAGACTAGCTTCTCTGTCCTCTAATACAAGCTCCTCCCTCTCCCTTCATCAACATGCTTTATCTTAGGTCTAATGATGTCATCACTAGATCCCTGTGCTTCTCTATGCAATGCAGACAGTTCATGGCTGGTGGGAGGGGCCAGAAGGGTGCTTCCTGAAAATATAACAGTACCCTGCCTGAAGGAGGGGGGGGGGGAAGGTACACCTGAGCAAGTCTGAAGGGGAGGAGCCGGTACACCTGTGCAAGACTGAAGGGGAGGAGCCGGTACACCTGTGCAAGACTGAAGGGGAGGAGCCGGTACACCTGTGCAAGAGTGAAGGGGAGGAGCTGGTACACCTGTGCAAGAGTGAAGGGGAGGAGTCGGTACACCTGTGCAAGACTGAAGGGGAGGAGCTGGTACACCTGTGTAAGAGTGAAGGGGAGGAGCCGATACACCTGTGCAAGACTGGAGGGGAGGAGCTGGTACACCTGTGCAAGACTGGAGGGGAGGAGCCGGTACACCTGTGCAAGACTGAAGGGGAGGAGCCGGTACACCTGTGCAAGACTGAAGGGGAGGAGCCGGTACACCTGGGAGAAGGGGAGGAGCCGATACACCTGTGCAAGACTGAAGGGAGGAGCCGGTACACCTGTGCAAGACTGAAGGGGAGGAGCCGGTACACCTGTGCAAGACTGAAGGGGAGGAGCCGGTACACTGTGCAAGACTGAAGGGGAGGAGCCGGTACACCTGTGCAAGACTGAAGGGGAGGAGCCGGTACACCTGTGCAAGACTGAAGGGGAGGAGCCGGTACACCTGTGCAAGACTGAAGGGGAGGAGCCGGTACACCTGTGCAAGACTGTAGGGGAGGAGCCGGTACACCTGTGCAAGACTGAAGGGGAGGAGCCGGTACACCTGTGCAAGACTGAAGGGGAGGAGCCGGTACACTTGTGTAATTTTTGTTTGGCTACACTTTCTCCATATTGAGTATCATGTACAGTATTATCACTGATATAGTGTCACTAGCGACAAAAATATTTTAAATATTTTAAATAAAAATGACAAATGCATATGAATGCATAAAAAACACAATTAGTGATATAACTGATGATACAAATAAATAAAGTGCAATGAATAACCCAATATAAATGTGCAATTTTTTGTAGTTGCGCTACACTTTTTCCATATTGATTTCTATTGGTGTTTGAACGCACAACTACTGACACTGGCTGACTCAAAATTGATTTCAGGGAGAAGAAACAGACAGATCGCCGTCTGTGTACAGAGCTCTGTGTGTTTGTAAACACAGAACACTGCGCTGTGACTGGCCGCAGCTGATCAGCAGGTGGGCGCCCAATCACAGCATGGGGTTAAGCAGGGTGCGCCTTGGTGCCTGGCTGGGCCACCTACTGGCAGTACATCTACTGTGAGGAGCCGGCATTGCTGTGTACATGGAGAAGGTAAAAAATAAATAAATACCGTATTTGCCGGCGTATAAGACGACTTTTTGACCCTTGAAAATCTTCTCAAAAGTCGGGGGTCGTCTTATACGCCGGTACACATGTTAGGGGGGCTGCGGCATTAAGTACAGGGGTTTGCAGGGGCTGATGTCTCTTACCTGGCTCCGGTCCCACGACGATCCGGTCCAGGAAGCGCGGCGTCTCCTTCAGTTCGGCCACTGGATGTTCGTGCGGCTGCTCGGCTCCGCCTCCTCACCGGTGATTGGCCGCCAGAACTGTAGCTCAGGAAAGGCACACAGGCGGCCAATCACCGGCGAGGGGGCGGAGCCGAGCGGCCCCGCGAAAATTGAGTGCCGGAGCAGCAGGTAAGTGTTCTGTGTAGAGGTGCTGCTGCAACCACATATGCTGTCTGCAGCAGCACCATACGAGAACAGGGTCAGCAAGTGTCAGTGGGAGGAATAGTGCCCCATCATTGGTGTCACTGATACCAACGATGGGGCACTATTCCTCCCACTGACACCAATGATGGGGCACTATTCCTCCCACTGACACCAATGATGGGGCACTATTCCTCCCACTGACACCAATGATGGGGCACTATTCCCCCCACTGATACCAATGATGGGGCACTATTCCTCCCACTGACACAATGATGGGGCACTATTCCTCCCACTGACACCAATGATGGGGCACTATTCCTCCCACTGACACCAATGATGGGGCACTATTCCTCCCACTGACACCAATGATGGGGCACTATTCCTCCCACTGACACCAATGATGGGGCACTATTCCTGCCACTGACACCAACGATGGGGCAACTATTCCTCCCACTGACACCAATGATGGGGCACTATTCCTGCCACTGATACCAATGATGGGGCACTATTCCTCCCACTGACACCAATGATGGGGCACTATTCCTCCCACTGACACCAATGATGGAGCACTATTCCTCCCACTGACACCAATGATGGGGCACTATTCCTGCCACTGATACCAATGATGGGGCACTATTCCTCCACTGACACCAATGATGGAGCACTATTCCTCCACTGATACTAATGATGGGACACTATTCCTCCCACTGACACCAATGATGGGGCACTATTCCTGCCACTAATGCCAATGATGGGACACTATTCCTCCCACTGACACCAATGATGGGGCACTATTCCTCCCACTGACACAATGATGGGGCACTATTCCTCCCACTGATACCAATGATGGGGCACTATTCCTCCCACTGATACCAATGATGGGGCACTATTCCTCCCACTGACACCAATGATGGGGCACTATTCCTCCCACTGACATCAATGATGGGGCACTATTCCCCCACTGACACCAATGATGGGGCACTATTCCTCCCACTGACACCAATGATGGGGCACTATTCCTTCCACTGATACCAATGATGGGACACTATTCCTCCCACTGACACCAATGATGGGGCACTATTCCTCCCACTGACACCAATGATGGGGCACTATTCCTCCCACTGACACCAATGATGGGGCACTATTCCTCCCACTGACACCAATGATGGGGCACTATTCCTCCCACTGACACCAATGATGGGGCACTATTCCTCCCACTGACACCAATGATGGGGCACTATTCCTCCCACTGGTGTGCATTGGAAGAGGGGTAGTCTTATACGGCGAGTATAGCCCAAACACTACATTTTAGCAGGAAAAGTAGGGGGGTCGTCTTATACGCCGGCAAATAAGTCTAACAATGTTTAATAAAGTAACGTGACTACAGAAAGATACAATGTAACGTACGTATTGTTTTCTACTTATGTATCATTCTGTTCATTCATATCTGCAGATCAAAGGGATGAACTCCCAGGTTAAAGTGTCCGGACTGGAAGGGGGGAAAGTGTCCGGACTGGAAGGGGGGGAAAGTGTCCGGACTCGGAAGGGCGGAGGGAAAGTGTCCGGACTGGGAAGGGGGGGGGGAAGTTGGAAAGTGTCCGGACTGGAAAGGGGTTGAAAGTGTCCGGACTGGAAGGGGTGGAAAAGTGTCCGGACTGGAAGGGGTGTGGAAAGTGTTCCGGACTGGGAAGGGGGGGGGGGGGGTGTGCCGGGACTGGGGTGGCGGGGGGGAAGATGTCCGGGGGGGAAAGGGGGAGAAAGTGTCCTGGGAACTGGACGGGGGGGGGGGGAAAAGTGCGTCCGGACTGGAAGGTGAAATTAGGGGGGAAAGCGTCCAGGACTGGAAGGGGGAGGAGAGAAAGGTGTCCTGGACTGGAGAGGTGGGGGAGGGGGAAAGCGTCCGGACTGGAAGGGGGGGAAAGCAGTCGGGACTGGAAAGGGGGGGAAAAGCGTCCGGACATGGAAGGGGAGGAGGAAAAAGCGTGTCGGGACTGGGAAGGGAGGGCAAACGCGGTCCGGGACTGGAAGGGGGGGAAGTGTGCGGACTGGAAGGGGGGGAAAGTGGTCCGGGACTGGAAGGGGGGGGAAAGCCGTCCGGACTGGAAGGGGGGGAAAGTGTACGGGACTGAAGGGGGGGAAAGTCGTGGCGGTACTGGAAAGGGGTTGAAAGTGTGCAGACTGGAAGGGGGCGGGGAAAGATGGTCCGGAATGCGAAGGGGGGGGAGCCCCCCCCCCCCCCCCCCCCCCCCCCCCCCCCCCCCCCCCCCCGGACGGGGGGAAGCGTGCCGAACTGGAAGGGGGTGAAAAGTGTCCAGACTGAAGGGGGGGGAAAGTGTACGCCGCGCGCGCTAAGGGGGGAAAGTGTCCGGACTGGAGAGGGGGAAAGTGTCCCGGCTGGAAGGGGGGGAAAGGTCCCGACGGTAAGGGGGGGAGGGAAAGTGGTCGGACTGGGAAGGGGGGGAAGCGTTTCCGGACTGGAAGGGGCGTGAATGTGTTCCGACTGGAAGGGGTGTGAAAGTTGTCCGGACTGGAAGGGGGGGAATGTTTTCCGGACTGGACGGGGGGGAAGGAGCGTGTCCGGGACTGGAAGGGGGTGTGGGAGGAGGGAAGGGCCGTCCGGACTGGAGGGGGGGAAAGGGGGAATCGGATAAGTGTCCGGACTTGAAGTGGGGGAAAGTGTCGGACTGGAAAGGGGGAAGGGAAGGAAGATGTCCCCGGACTGGAAGGGGGGGGAAAGTGTCCCGGACTGGAAGGGGGGGGAAAGTGTCCGGACTGGATGGGGGGGAGGAAAGTGTCCGGACTGGAAGGGGGGGGAAGCGAGTCCGGACTGGAAAGGGCGGTGAAAGTGTCCAGAACTGGGAAGGGGGTGGAAAGTGTCCGGACTGGATAGGGGGGGATAAGTGTCGGACTGGAAGGGGGGGAAAGTGTCTAAGTATAAATATACTGTGTGGCCTTTAAAAAATACATAATCTACATTTTTTTTGCATTTACAAATATAGGTAAAAATATATGTTAAAATGGTATGTTATTTATGTTAAAAAAAATAAATCCTGATGAACATTTTTTTAAAAAAAATAATTTTTTAATATAATTTTCCTATATATTTTTGCGAATATAAAAAAAAACGCATTTCAACATGCAAGTAGATGTATCATATATAACATATTTGTTTATTTATTGAAATATTTTTTGATTATATATTGAATATGGCCAAATTAGCATCTTCAAGTACTATTTTTCTTCCATTATGTAGAAAACCAATCAGCTTCTAGCTCTCAAGACTTGTTCTGGTTGAAGCTTTTAAAAATGAAAGGTAGGAGCTGGATTGGTTGCCAAGCACAGGCTGCTCCAGTCTTCGAAATTTCCAAAGTGTTTTTTGTTACATACGTTACTTAAATTGATAGTTCTGCCCCTTCCCCACCACACCATCTTTTCCTGCCACTGTGATGGGGGGGCTTATATAATTGGCATGCTCCTGTACTTGTCAAGTAATTAGTTAGCCTGCTATTGAGGATTACCTGGAGCGATCCACCCCGATGTTCTGCATGATTACTGTTCAGGGCGTACGTTGTACCCCCTCTATGATCCACCCCGAAAACTGCGCCACCGCCGGGGTGAGGTGGAATCCTCGTGGGACGCCGTCTTTCCACGGCGGCTGTTTGAAGGTTGAGGTTAGAGGAGGGATGCGCACTGTGCGTCTCTAACCGGATCTTCCACCGCGCGGACTGGAGGAGGGACACAAAAATTCGAAATAAATATTTACTACTGCGGGGACACCGCAAACACCTAAACAGAGGATGCTGACAAATCTAATGTACCCTCCCCCCACAGTACACATCAGTCTTCAGCACCAGAGGAACGCTTACACTCTTAATGTCCCCTCCCCCACAGTCCCATCAGTCTTCTGTTACGGAGAGGAGCGTACACTCTTATGTATCCCTCCCCCACAGTCACATCCAGTCTCTGTACCGGAGGAGCCTTACGCTCTAATGTCCCCTCCCCACAGTCACATTCAGTTCTCTGCACCAGAGGAGCTTCACTCTGCAACAAGAGAGGTGGTGACTTGCAGGTTGCTAGCTCCTCTCCAGACAGACACTAGGGGGGCCAGGCCTGCTCGCCTGGCCCAGAAGAAACATGTTCCTTCTGGGCTCAGGCTCAGACCATGCTCCACCCCTCGAGGGACCCAGCATGCCTTCCCCATACTTCACCAGCACATGAAGGACCTTTGGCTGTGGCCCTAAAAAGTGGGGAATCCCTCCCTGTCTTTTAGTGAGATGAGCGGTTGCTGATTATCTGGTGAGGGAAAAAAAAAAGGAGCAAGGAGTTGGTGAGTCTGAAAATGACTACAGAAAAAAAAG